AAACCTGATGGGAGAGTCTTCATTTCTTACTGATGAGAACGTCACAGCCCCCTGTGGCAAGTGGCAAAAGACTGCATTCTTCAGGCCAAGCAAGTGAGGTCAGCTCCAATTACTCCTGGGCAGTTGGGTTCACCGAATTTGGTGGTTCCTGGCCAGGACTGCATAACAGACACAGAGACCCAAGTGGGTGTAGACAACTGGGAGGGGGTCTCTGCCTCCTGCCTCATTGTGAGGCCCAGGTTTCCAGCCAGGTGGAGTGTGCTACTGCCCTCAGGGACCCACTGCAGAGGAAGAACTTTGGGAGCACCCACACCAAGGAGAGGAGAGTCTTTCCCCAACTAAGCCACTGCCCAATGCCATTACCTTAGGAAAGGTGCTTTGTGAGACCTTGACCTGGACAGCCAAGAGACCACGAGATGGCAGCAGAGGACACAGCCCCGGACACGAAACCTGAGCCATCTTGCCAAAAAGCAGATTCAGGAAACGAAGAGTTCATTTGTGAAATATCGTCAGTTGTCTATAATTATGTGTTAAAAGCCAGAATAAATGACAGAATTTCAAAGAAATGAGGGTCAAATTTATTTGCTTGGATAATTTCCCAACCACCAATGCGCCACATCTGCATATGAAGCCACATAACATGAACTGAATTTCTCTAATGTTTAAAAGAAGAGATAGGGGTCACGGCCTTTGAACACTGATGTCAGTGGAAACCTTGTCAGTTTCTTCTTTCTGTGGAGTTCCCATTCAAGTAAAATGAGTGACCTCCACAGAGGCTGCCAAACTAATGAAGAAAGAGGCAGATACAGTGGTTGCTGGGAATCACTGCAGCAAAGCAGAACACTGTCATGGAGCAGCCTGGGACTCTGGCAATAGGCAGTGTGGAGGGGGAATAATGAGGAACACAGGACAAGTCTCAAAGAGTCTTTGCTTGCAGCTGGCAGAGGATAATGCACAGGAAAGCGGCATTAGTGGCACTGGAACTAAATCCCAAATCTGACTTCTCATCTAATGCACCTTCCATTGTTACATATTTCCACCTCCCCCACTCCTCAGTTGTGACTAACAAATAGGTCTCCAGACATTGCAAAATATCCTGAGAAACAAAATGACCCTTCTCTCAGAACCAGTGCCCTAGAGGCTATGATGAAGTTTTATCAGAAAGGTTTTAAGAATTTAATGTTTAATCTAAGGCTCTGGGACTTTGCAAGATCTATGTGAACTGCATCATGTATCCAAAACCTGAATTGCTACTGTTTGTCTAATGCAGACTGATGATTGAAGGACTATAGCTGAATCTGGCTCTTGATTTTTAAGAAATTATCATTTAAACCACTTCTACAGGCAATTTATTTTCAACACCTGAAGTGGTTTATAGTTTTAAAGTACTTTTCCTTGTGTGATTTTATTTTAGCCTTGATACTCTAGTAAGGTAGAGAGAATAAATATTATTACTATAACCTCCAAGTGAACAAAAGGTAGTTCAGAAAGGTTTGACTTGCCCAAGCAACAGAATTAGAATCTAGGTTTCCTGGTTCCCAGTCCTATTATTTTTTTGAGGAAAAATTTCTAGTAAGAACTTCACTTAAGGGTTCATGAAACTAAACCAAAAAAGTAGATATGGGCATAACTGCTGGAACAGTTAAATTTCAACTGCTAAGCTGTTCAAAAATCATCACAAATGATTAACTCTGTTTCTCTTTTTTTTTTTTCCCCTGGAGACAGAGTCTTGCTTTGTCTCCCAGGCTGGAGTGCAGTGGTGCCACCTTGGCTCACTGCAACCTCCACCTCCCGGGTTCAAGCAATTCTCCTGCCTCACGCTCCCAAGTAGCGGGGATTACAGGCACCCGCCACCATGCTCTCCTAATTTTATTTATTTTTTTTTCAGTAGAGACAGCCACCATGTTGGCCAGGCTGGTCTTGAACTCCTGACCTTAGGTGATCCACCCACCTCGGCCTCCCAAAGTGCTGGGATTAGAGGCATGAACCACCAAGCCTGGCCAACTATGCTTCTTTTAATGAAGTATTTCTGCTTCCCCTCTCCTTGCAGGCATTGCCTTTCTGGCTTTCCTTAAGTTGAGTGTGGCCATATGACTTGGTTTGGCTACTGAATGAGTCGAAGTGACATGAATGTATCCCTTCAGGGCAGCATTTAAGAGTCTAAGAACAGTCCTTCATGCTTACCTCACATTCTGACCAGGTATAACCTTAACCTTCCTAGTGACAGGGCAGGATCTCAAAATGGTGGCGCTCCGTGAACTTGGGTACCTGAAACACTTGCAATGAGCAGAACCCCTTGCCAGCCTACTTTGGACACGTAGTATGAGAAATAAACCTGTGTGGTTTTAAGCCACTGTGGTTTTGGCATTTACCACAGCCTAGCCTAATCTGACTGATGCAGGTTAATTTCCATCGCCATCAAGCTTGCCTAGGAACTAGAATGCAACAACTAATCTTATCACATCACTAAAACCTGGAAAACAAATTGTTAATTTTCTTTCCTCAGCTTCCTCATCTACCATCTTCTGACTTTCAAGAAAATTATTCTTTTCTTAGCCCTGCACACATGAGCTCTCCATTACACTGGCAATTAGACTGTGGGAGAGGAAGAAATGCAGAAGACCTAGATCTTTTCTCCATTTCAGAGCCTGATCCCAGAACTGTCCCCACCCACTAGTACTCACACTTAACCTTGTCATAGGAAGATTATTACCACTCTTCCAAGGTGTCACAGATGAGCTGCAGCAGGCGCCACTGCAATGCCAAGGCAAGGCAGCCAGGCTGCGCTCTGTACTCACTGGTGCCTGGGCCTGTTTAGGCCAGGTGAAGCAGCATTCTCTAGGGAAAGAAGCCTTCTCAAGTGGGAACAAAAATGAGAATGAGGCGAACAGCCATCCCGGGCACTACTGTATGTGAATTTGGGGTGAGTTCTCTTGGTACTCCAGCTCTGGTCAATTTCTAGTTTCTAGGGGCTAGTAAGCTGCCCAGCTGCTGCTGCTACTGGGACTCCCAGTCCTCCTGGGCTTTTCCCAAGCCCACGCGAGCCTGTTATCTTTGCACACTTGCAAAGGTCACAAACGGTGGGGGTTGAACGCAGCCAGAAGTTCAGCAACCCGATCGCAGCCGGGATCAAAGGTCGGCGGGTCAGACCAGACGCCGAGCCTGCGCAGTCCCGCTCCCGCGTTGGAGAGAAAGGGTGGCTACAGCGCCGGCTCGTTACACCGGCGTGCTCGCAAGAGGCGGGAAAGCGGTAGGGAGAGACGCGGGTCGCAGCGTCCCTCCCTCTGCCTACCCTATCTATCCGCCTGCCCAGCAAGCCTGTTCCTCCTTCGGCGCCCAGGCCCCAGGGGAGGGGACGAGAAACGCCCTGCTTTTCTGACTCATCATCTCCAACCCCTTTCTCGCGCGCGCTCCAAGTCTCAGGACATCGGACCTGCGCCCTCTTGCGAGGGGGTGCGGCGACAGCATCTGGGAAGCCTCAGCTCTGCCAAGCGCCAACTCCGGGCCCTCGCCAGTCTGTGAAGCTGCCAGCGCAGGGCTGGCGACCCAGAGCCAGCTGTCAATTGCAGTGGCTGGGGGAGCGGCACGCCAGTGCAGGACCGCCCGCCCGGCTCCTCCCTGAACGCGGGGCCAGTGGTCGCGTCTGAGGAAGCGCTAGGCTAGGCCCAGACTTCCCCACCTCGCGCCGCTCAGCACATCCACAGCGCCCCCACCGCGGAGGGAAGGCTCTTTATTTCCCAGCCGCTCACGGGCCGGCAGGGCATCCTGGGACTCGTAGTCTTCGCAGCAGTAGAAAGGAGCTGGATCGAAAGGGGAACTGGAACACTCCTGAATTGGATTCAGGGAGTTGGCGTGTGCAGGATCCGGGGTTTGGAGTGGATGGGATTATAAAAGGTGGACCGAAGAGTGAGATGAGGCAGATGTGAAGCTCTGTAGGGAGGTGACGGGGAGGGAGGATATGTATGGAAGGGAGAAAGCAGATTTTCAGGGTGGTGAGGTGAGGATATATTCGAACGTCCAGGTGTATCTTCCCCTAACAGGGAAGGAACGAAAAAGGGGCCTGCTCTGAGTGAAAACTGAAGGCACTCCCGGACTTCATATTGGACTCAAGGGATCCCAGCTAACTTCTGAGTTTGGTGGGGTGGGATGCAGGAATGTCTGGAGAGCATTCTCTCAGGGTGGAAGAAGAGCAACAGGTGTCTGTTCCCGCTGTCCCGCCCTCTCATTTGCTCCTGTGTTGGCCACCGTGGGACCATTCTCCAAACCAGGAATCTCCTCCAACTCAGAGAAGCCCTGAAAACCAGAGACAGGTGTGAGCAAATTGTAGAGGTGAGAAAGAAGAAACTCCAGACAGAAGCAACTGCTTTCTCCTGCCCATTTTTTAAATCCTGTTTCCCATAGTCCGTTCAATATTTAGGCAGCTTCCTAATGCTTTCCCACTCTTTTAACCTCAATCATTTGGATTCCCAATTCCCTCTTACCCACCACTAGAGGAGAAATGTCCAAAGCCAGCGAAAGCCCATCAGTTTCATTCTAGGACCTCTTCTTTTCTAGGACCTCCTGCCCCATCGTTTTTCCTTAAGTGCCACTGACCAGGATAGCCAGTGGAAAAATTAGTTGGCAACTAGCTATTCATTCTTTCCTCCCTGCCCCCATACCTCCTGCAGCTCCTGGTAGTGTAGACTCTGGCTCCTGCAGCATCCGGGTTTCCTCTGGCTCAGCAAGAATAGGGCGTGCACTGAGACCAGCACTCCCCCTAGGGTGAAGGCCTCAGCACTGAGCTCCAGCACCAGCAAGCCAGCCTGCTGCAGGTAGACAGGGCTGAGAATGCAGGGATCCCGCACCTGTTTGCCCCTGCCCATTTTGCTCTCCATCTCTTGTCTCCTCATCTTCCCACCTCCCCTTCATTTGCCAGTACCTTGGAGGGGGCAGTTGGGGCAGGCCCCAAGGCTGTCTTCATCACCTCGACCACCACCACGATGAAACCCAAGATCAAGTTGAAGGTGTTGAATATCATCATGGCCTGCACCTGCCAGTGAGCTAGCTCAGTCCCGCCCAGCCTCAGGACTCATTCCAACCTCAATCCCCACTTGCAGCCTATCTGAAGACAAAACTCACCTGCTTCTAAGCCTCCAAACAGGGCCAAAAGCCCTCTAACTTTTTTGCTTTCCCTCCTCAGTCACTGAGGCCAGTCAATGGTGACAGCTGAGAGGGCAAGTCAACACTTAGCCACTTACTTCCTAGGCTGAGGGGTGTAGGTGTCTGTTTTAGGGAGTGGGAGGACAGTACTGTATTCTCTTCCCTCTCACCTTCCAGAGGCGGGGTGCTCTGCGAAGCTCAAGGGTGACAATCCCAGTGAGGAGACCCTGAATGGTGAGAAGGGCAAGTGTTGAGCTCTGGTTCTGTTAGGAAGGGGCCCTGGGACTTTCCTTCCACCCTCCCTTGTGGTGGGTCTTACTGAGACTCCAGGCCCAAGAGGCAGCGCTGTAGCCATGTGGCAATCAGAGTTCAGGCAGGCGACTGAGAGGGCAAAGGGCACCACAACCACTGCCAGCCATAGCTGGCTCACCTAGGGGTCAGGGGAGGGTAATTGAGGAGGAACTGTCAGGGATTCCCTTCCCTTCTCATAACTCCTACCTCTTTAGAGATCAGCAAATAGGATTTTATGCAGGGTGGAGGAAAGCAGTCAACCCAGAGCAATGAAGGAAGTGATCATTAAAAATTAAGTATCATTTAATTTTTTCTGCCTCATATTGTAGTTTAGTTACTTACCTGTATGTTTTCCCCACAAGATGGAAGCCACTTGGAGATTAAGGGTCTTGCCTTGTTTATTTCTATGTTTTCTCCACCCTCCTCCCATTCAGAACCTAGCACATTTTCTGGCGCATGGTAGGTGCTCACTCAACATGGATGGATAAATGGACGGAACTGAATTGGGTACAAGTGGACATGCTGAGACCTGGGATGGGGTAGCCTGGCCTCACCGCCAGCACCAAGAGGTGCCCACTCTGCCTGTGCCTTGCCCAGCGTTGTAGCTTTTCCAGACGAAGGCTGTGTCTCTCCTGCTCTTGCTGATCAGCTTTATCTTCCATGGCTCCTTTACCCACAAGAACTAGGTGCTTCCTAGGCTGGGAAAAATGCATTATGGTTTCTATTAGGAGAGAGGACATGCAACAACGTATCTTTCAGTTACACCTCTGCCCACTCCCAATATCCAGGGATTTGAGGTCCAGGGCCTCACACCTACCTAGTCTGAAGCAGCTACTCCAAAGGGATGGGACCCAGCTGGGTCCTAGGACTTCTGAGGGGCTTGATAGCTCAGAGCAGACGACGAACTTGTCCTGGCAGAGAAAGGCTGTCAGGGATGGGGTGTGGTGGGGCAAAGGTTTCTATGAAGACCTAAGGATCTAGGGAGTGGCCCTGGGTACATACCAGCCTCAGTTCACTCCACAAGACATCTAGCCTGACCCCACTCTATTCCCATTTCTCATTACCCCCATTTCTGCCCATCCTGGGTTCCTCTTCTGGTTTAACTTAACCTCATCCTCAGGGACACTATCACTCTGGACCTCAATTTCTCCTCATTTCCATATAATCTTACACCTTTCTTTGGCTTCCCCCTCATTACCTGTCCTTCCCTAGAGACCTTACTTTCTGTCTGGATTGGTCCCCTGTCATTACTACTTGCAGCTTTGCCCCCAGACCAGGTAAGGTTGAATTCCAGTGGCTTTCTTGCCTCTCACTTTCTGGACAGTCTCCCTTCCCTTTCTTGAAGGTTTTACTCTGAATTGAACACTAAGTGGATGGGGGGTCCTGTTTATAGTGGGAATTGTTTTTGATTCAATGATAACCTGCAGATGGCCATATATATATATATGTGTGTGTGTGTGTGTGTGTGTGTGTGTGTATATATATATATATATATATATATATAGATGGTCCTCAAATAGTGAGTCTTGGAAAGGATACTATTGCAACAATTAATATTTTTGAGAGAGAAGGTGCCTCATAGCCAGACAGACCTGGACTGAAATCTTAGCTCTGCTGCTTTTCCATCTGTGTGATCTTAGATCCATTATTATTATTATTATTGGAGGTGGAAGTTTCACTCTTGTTGCCCAGGCTGGAATGCAATGGCTTGATCTCGGCTCACCACAACCTCTGCCTCCCAGGTTCAGGCAATTCTCCTGCCTCAGCCTCCCAGGTAGCTGGGATTACAGGCATACTCTACCATGCCTGGCTAATTTTGTATTTTTAAGTAGAGATGGGATTTCTCCATGTTGGTCAGGCTGGTCTCAAACTCCCAACCTCCAGTGATCCACTCGCCTTGGCCTTCCAAAGTGTTGGAATTACAGGCATGAGCCACCATGCCCAGCCTATTATTATTATTATATTGAGACAGAGGCTCACTGTCACCCAGGCTGGAATGCAGTGCCATGATCATGGCTCACTGTAGCCTCCATCTTCTGGGCTCAAATAATTATCCTGCCTCAGCCTCCCAAGTAGCTGGGATGACAGGCACATGCCACTGTGTCTAGCTAATTTTTAAATTTTTTGTAGAGACAGGGTCTCACCATGTTGCCTGAGCTGGTCTCAAACTCCTAGGCTCAAGAGATACTCCTTCCTTGGCCTCCCAAACCGCTGGGATTACAGGTGTGAGCCACTATGTGTGGCCTATTAGATACATTTTTCTACCTATTTGAACCTCAGTTTGTTCACTGATAAAAGGGGGCTAACGATATGACTGTGAAGAGTTGTTGATTCGGGGTGGGTGCTTAATAACTTTAGTGGTGCTGATGAGGTCACACTGATAAGCTTGATGCCTGTACACTAAAGGTGTTATTCAGAAGCTAAGCTGGGGACTCATTTCTACAGCCAGAAGCACAACCAGCTGGGCCCAAATATACTCTATAGATTAAAGATATAATAGGAAAGGCTCATCTTGGTACAGAGCCTGAGGTCTGGAGGCAACCAGATCTCTGTTCAAATCCCAGATCTACCTGGGGGCCCTTGGCAAGTTGCTTAATCTCTCTGTTCCCTTATCTGTAAAAGGAAGTTAAATAATACCAGCCTCAAGGGGTTGCTTTCAGCATGGCAGAAGAGCTTAGCCCAGAACCTGGCACATAAGTGCTCAATGTTAGTGTCTATCATCATCATCACTATTATTTTTCTTGTTGCTGACGATAAGAGGAGACTATGCCAGAGGACCCCAGAAGTTAGTACCAGGAGGCAGAGTCCTGGGAAGCAAGTGACCTTTTTGTAAGCCACTTCTGTCCCATCCATACTGTGCCACCATCGGCGGGGCATCGTATCTACTCTTTTCTTTCCCAGCGAGTGGGAGTCACATTTTAAAGGGATCCAGAAAACCGTTGTGTGTGTACTCCTCCTCGATTCCCATGTGCATTAATTTTATTTGCTGGCGATGTGAGATGTTGGGCTTGCACTGAGGACCCCAGAGCCTGCAGGCCATTGGAGAAAGAGACTCCCTGAAGCCTCATTTTTCTTACTTGTAAATGGGGACTAATTTTATTATAGAGGGTTATTGGAAAGATTATATACTATTAGATAGGTGAACAGGCATTCAGTAAATATTGACTAAATCTGAGTGTACTACTTACCAGTTTGTAGTCTAGACTACAATCGCCTGGAAGGAAGATACCACTTCTCTTTTCATCCCCCACAGCGCTGAGCCCAGTGCCTGGCACTTAGTAAGCACTCAGTAAATATTTGTTGTATTGAAGAGCCATGAAAGTGACTTGAGGAATGGAAAATAGAATTCGAGAGGAAGGAGCAGGAATTGTTTATCAAGAACGGAAAGGACCGAAGAGTAACTTTAATAATGTTTCTTATACGGCCGACATTAACTCTCTCTATAATCGCCCCTCCTCCTCCCCCAAAAGAGAGACAGAAATTGTAAGGGAGAGGCTTTGAGATAAAACCCCAGGAAGAACTTCCCGAGTCTGTGCATGTTGGGGCAGAAAGAGCGGCAGAGCCAACTCCTTCCCTGGTATGTCCGGGTTTAGGGTGGGAGGGGCAGTGCTGCTTGGAGGCTGGGGGAAGGACGAGATGACCTTTCAAAATCTCTTCCAGTCTCCTGTTGGAATCGTCTGTGCGCCCCACCCCCGCTCCCTCCCTCCCTCCCTCCCTCCAACAGTGCCCCCCGTCTCCAAACCGTCCGCACCCCGCCCCTGGCGGCCGCCTCTCGCGGCTCCCGGGGTCCCCAGCTCCCAGTCCCTGGAGCCAGAGCCCGGCTCCCGCGCGGCTCCCAACCCCGCCGCGCCGCCCCCCGCATGCTAATGGCCGGGCCGCCTCCCGCCGCACACAATGCGGGCCAGGGCCGGGGGCGGGGGACCGGGGAGGGGGCGGGGGCCGGGCCGGGGGCGGGGGGGCCGGGGCCCGGCGCATCTCCCCCGGCCCCACGTAACGCTGACGCCCGCGCCGCCGGCCCGCCGCCCGCCGCCGCCGCCGCCGCCGCCCGCTCCGCCGCCGCCCGCCCGGGGCTCGTGAGTAGCCGCTCCCCCCACTCCCGGGCCCCCCCGTCCGCCACCCGGCCCCCGCCCCCGGCCCCCTCCCCCCCTCCCGGAGGGGGGGCCCGCTCCGCGCGCCCGGCTCGGAGCAGGTGCAGGGGGCGGGGGCGGGGGAGGGGCGCCGGCTCGGCCCCAAGCAAACTTCGCCCAGAGCTCCTGGGGGGGCGGGGTGGGGGTGGCGGCCTCGGAAGCCTGGAGAGCTGGGGGGCCCCGAGGGAGGGGGGGCCAGGTGGAGGAGCTGGGGGAGCAGACACCAAAGGGAAGGGCCATCTGGGGGGGATGTGGGGGCGGAGGTGGGGGGTGTCTTTGTAGGGGCCCGAAGGCAGGGCGCGAGGGGCCTGGGGGTGAGGGGCGGCAGAGCCGCGAGCCTGAGTGGATGTGCACCCCCCCAGCCCCCGGCCCAGGTAGGGCTGGTGGGGGAGGGGGAAGGAGCCCAAACTCTCCGGGAGCACGGGGTGGCGGGGGAGGGGAGAGGATGGGGGGGTGCTTCCCTCTTTGCGTCCCAAACAAAGTGTCACAAAGAGCTCGGCCCGCGGCAGCAGCGGAGGCGGCTGTAACTCAGCTTTTGTTCTCCTGGCCGGGGGTAGCTGAGCCTTGGCCTCCCTATCTCTCAACCCTGCCCCCCATCATTCTTCTGGCTTATCTTCCTGGGGAGGGGTCTGAGGTGCTGCTGGAGAAACCTCTCGGGCAGATTGCAGGTCCTACACTACTTAGCAATCTATTTCTGGGAGGGGGATTTTCTCAGAGGCTCCCTCGATCACCCCTACTTCCCAGTCTGAAGACTGAGGCTCACGTGGGTGCTAAGACTGACTTTTCTAGGGTCAGCGCCAGTTAAGGGGACTTAGGTCTGGCTACATGTCCCCCTTCCCCAAACCCAGGTCCTCCAGAACTTTCAAAATCAAAATCGGGGTTGCGTTAGGACATGCCTCTGGGATAAGATTCCCCATAGTGGGGTGGCAGCAGGTGAGCAGATGTGCCTTCCTCTCGCCCTCTGCTGTACCTTTGGAGTCCATGGCTGAGGTTCCATGTCCTCAACTCAGGAGAATGAGGACAGAAAGAAGGAGGGAAGGAGGCTTTACCAAGAACTCAGTCCAAAAAAGCTAGCGAGCTGCACAGTGGAGTGGGTTTGGAGGAGCTGTCTGAGCAGTGAGGTTCAGAGGGCCCTGAAGAGGAGACCATAAAACTACTGACGTATGTGTGATCAAGGTAGTCTTGACTCTAGACCACCTAAGAAGCTCCCTTTCCTTTTAACCCCATCTAGTGCAGTGATAATCATAATTGTTAGCAGATTTGGGAGGTGTAGGATTCTCAAGACAGAAAACTGTTGTGTTAGAGGTTACAGCTGGACCCCAGAAGTCCTGAACCCTTGCTCCTTATACTGTGACCCTAGAAACTTTTGAATTACAAAACTTGAGGGACAGTCTTTGTGGTCCATTTAGGAGATAGATACTTCTACGTACCTGTCCTTGTTGTTTCTAAGTTTTTTCACCAACCATTCCATCCTTCTTAACTAAGGTTTAGTGGTCCACATCCACTTCCCTACCAGTTGCCCCAGAACCTGAGGATAATTGGCCTGTTGATTTTGAAAGGTTTCTGATACCTATCCCTGGCCCTGCATCCTTATAGAATCCAAATAAGGGCAAGATAACCCCTGTTTCCCAGTGGGGGTGGAAAGTAGGTCAGTGCTGCTGTCTGGCCAAGTGTCGAGGATAGTGTTTAAGTCCTGACTATGGAAAACTCTGTGATTATTGCCCACGGGCAATACACACATGACCTCAGTTCCAAGGCAGTTGCTGGTATCCCAGTCCCTGTCAGTTCTTTCCCCTACTAAGAAAAAATCATGGGATCAGGTGTCTGGAACCTGGTTTGACACAGAGATGATTCAGGAGATCTTGATTGGGCCTAGGAAGGTATCTCGGTTAGTTTTGTTGATTTTAGGCCACCCTCTGGGGAAACTTTCCCTGCTGGGGAGTTCAGCTTCAGCCTGGGCCTTCTTGCATATCACTCTGTTTCTGTTCTGGAAACTGCTATGTGCAAAGTGGTTTATCATTGTTTTGTTTGGGAGAGGAAGCTTTGCCCTATTCCCACTCTTCTTGCCTCAGATATGAGGCCAGCTTCATATGAGATTTTGCTTGCTATCCTACAGACAGTTTTAGGGGCCCTAGAATCTTCTCAGAATCAGAGTATGTGCCCATAGGTTAGTCAGCTATGACCATGCAGTATTCCCAGCATCCCCCCCCCACCACCATCTGCTTCCTCTGAATATACCAGATTGGCTGTACACCAGGATGTTCCGGGAATCCCCAGGAGAGCAACAGAATGTGATGGACCCAAATATGATGCCTCAGTAACTCATTCCAGGATGTACAAACTGTAACTGTCAGGACGCTCCTTATAGCTAATTAAAATTCTTCTAGTTACATCTATTTTCTATTAGCTCTTTCTATTTTCAGTGACATCCAAAAGGCCAAAATAATCCCTGTGGTACCACTGGTTTTTCTTTTATGGTTTCCAGATAGGAACAACAACAACAAAAAAATGCTCTAGCTTTTCTGTGTTGTATCTGTGATGCTAAAATGGCAAACAGCCCCTCTAGCACCTCATAGCTCTATCTATGGTACTGAGGTGGCCAAAGTGGCTTCTGTGGTAGCCCACTGCACTCTCCATGGTACTGAAGGGATGACCATTTGTTTTAACATCTCTCTGGGGTCCAAATGAGTCCTGTGACTTAGAACCACAAACATTTTTTTTTTTTTAGTAGGAAGGGACTAACATATAAATTAGTCCAATCCCCTATTTTATTGTTGTGCAAACTGGGAAGTTAAGTGATTTAGTGAAGTTTGTAGGGTTATCAATGTTCAGACCAGGCCTACAATAGCCTTGTACATCTCAGTCCTATTCTAATTCACCTTTTGTGACACTATTCGGTGAGCCTGGTGAGGCTCTTAGTCCCAGGAAAAGATCCAGAGGATGAGAGAGGGTGCCCTAATTTGAAGCTACAGAAATACACATATTAAATGGTAGTGGAAGTCGCCTAGTGACCCTTGGACAAGGACACTTTGTTAATTAATCGTCTGCTATTAATAATCCTATAGCCCAGATTCCACATGTAACAGGTACCTGCCCCTTCATGGAGTCTTAACACATACAATAAATGTCAAAAATTGAAGAAGCCTTGGACCTCCAGAGCTTTTTCTCTCTGCTGACAGGCAGGTTGACGCTTGGCCCAGTTCTTTTCCATTAAAGATCCTTAGGCAAAGTAATGCTTGAATCTTTTTCTTTCTCAGTAACCCATTTCAGTTTCATGATGCCTGTCGTAAGGAAGTTCTTTATATCTCAAATACTCTTTCTTAGGCAAAAAAAAAAAAAAGTTAGGCCCACATTCATTTAGCCTTGACCAGATACAATTCTATACGAGGCAGAAAGGTAGACTAGATGACTTCTGGTCATCCTCCAGGCCTACTTCCATGAATCTTGATCCTGGGGTTTCTTCTAAGTCCTCATGCTGAACTCCTCTGCAGCTTAGGATCAGTATCCCCCTCCCACCCCCCATCCTCTTCCTCTCAATGTTCTTCTTCCCCAGCACTGGAGCTCTGCAAGTCCCAGGCCTAGGGAATTTTAGCCTGGAGAACTTTAACCCCTTCCTGCTCAGAGCATGTGCTGAGTCCCTATCTGTGCAGATGGCCCAGCCCCGCCCCCCGTCCCTCACTCCAGCCTCTTGAGCTCAGAGCCAGTGTAATCCTCCTCTTGTGTGAGGGAGCCTCTCCCCTGCAGAGAGGAGGAAAGCCTGCCTCAGAACAGCCCTGGACAAAGGGGCTCAGATGCCCCATCATACTGCAGACTCCAAGGTTTGAAACAAGGGGATGAATCCTATACGGTATTTGCAGTTTTTAACCCCTTCCCCAGGCTAGCTGTGCCCCTTAACTTCCACTCCTCCCCCAACTCTCTCTTCATTCCTTCTGCTCCCTCCCCCTTCATGCCCCTCCCCCTCTGTCTGTCTTCAGACTCTGCTGCTGGGAGGTGTTTCTCTCCCATGCATGAATGAGTCTCTGTAATGAATGGAAATGAATGGATCAGGAATCCAGGCAGAGGGAGGGAGAATGAAGGGGGGAAAGACAGAAAGGGTAAGGGCAGAAGGAAGCACTGTGGAACCTGGAAGGATGTGTGGCTGGCTGGTCAGGGTTCTCAGAGCAACTGGTCCCACTTGGATAACTGGGGAGCATGTCAAGCCCACCCCATTTGCTCACCACACTGTACAGCCCAACCTACATTGGAGGAGGGCATACTGTGATGGTTTTCCCTACCACCAGGGGGTAGGGTGGTAGCTGTGGTTGTTCTAGACCGTGCATTTAAAATACAGAATTTGGGGAAGCGGTCTGAATTATCTGGGAGGCTGGTGGGCTTAGCAAATCAAGGGGTACAGCTTTTGAGTAGAGCAGCCCTTTCGTGCCTCAAGATGCAAGTAGGGAGAAGGGATTGGTTTTTGGAATACAGAGTGCTGAGAGTCTACAGGTAGGGAGTGACTTTACTGCTGAAAACTAGGGCTCACCTTTTCCTCCAAATCTGTCTCTTGCTTTAGCTCCACAGCACCTGTTGCCTTCATTAGCAGCCTTTCCTCCTCTTCCCTGCACTCCCCAGAACCAAAGAATGTGAAGGGGGTCCATGGAGGTGAGTGAAGCTCTGACTTCAACCTACAAGTACCTACCTACAACTGTATACTCCCTCTCCTGCCTACCTCTCTCTCTCTTTGACCTCCCATTGTTAGAAGTTAACTCCTTGGCCCTGACATCTCGATTCCCACACAGCCCCCCCAACTTCCCGAGGTGAGTGGCACCCTGTGTTCCTAGTTCAGACCCCAGCCCACCTTCCCTCGTGTCGTCTTTCTGGCCCTCGAGGCGACGCCCTTGCTTCCTTTACAGCTCTACCTTCACCCTTTGCTCTATGCAGATCTTTCTCCACAGGGCTCACGTCCCCGCGCCCCGAGCGGCCACTTAGCGCCGTCGCCGCCAGCTTTCGACGGCGAGCTGGATCTGCAGCGATACTCCAACGGGCCAGCCGTGAGCACAGGGTCACCTGGGATGGGAGCAGTGAGCTGGTCTGAGAGTCGTGCAGGCGAACGGCGCTTCCCCTGCCCTGTATGCGGGAAGCGCTTCCGCTTCAACTCTATCCTGGCTTTGCACCTGCGGGCACACCCAGGCGCGCAGGCCTTCCAGTGCCCTCACTGCGGCCACCGTGCGGCGCAGCGGGCTCTGCTGCGTTCGCACCTGCGCACACACCAGCCCGAGCGCCCACGTAGTCCTGCCGCACGCCTGTTGCTGGAGTTGGAAGAGCGTGCGCTACTGCGCGAGGCCCGACTGGGGAGAGCCCGAAGCTCAGGGGGCATGCAGGCCGCCCCTGCCACTGAGGGCTTGGCGCGGCCCCAAGCTCCTTCATCGTCCGCCTTCCGTTGCCCCTACTGCAAAGGCAAGTTTCGCACCTTGGCGGAGCGGGAACGCCACCTGCACATCCTGCACAGGCCCTGGAAGTGCGGCCTGTGCAGTTTCGGCGCCAGCCAGGAGGAGGAGCTGCTGCACCACAGCCTGACCGCCCACGGAGCTCCCGAGCGCCCTCTGGCGGCCACCTCCGCTGCGCCCCAGCCTCAGCCTCCACCCCAGCCCGAACCCAGATCGGTCCCTGAGCCGGAGCCAGAGCCGGAGCCTGAACGTGAGGCAAACCCGGCCCCAGCTCCTGCAGCTCCCGAGGAGCCCCCAGCGCCTCCGGAGTTCCGCTGCCAAGTGTGCGGCCAGAGCTTTACACAGTCTTGGTTTCTCAAGGGCCACATGCGCAAACACAAGGCCTCCTTCGATCACGCGTGTCCCGTGTGCGGCCGTTGCTTCAAGGAGCCCTGGTTCCTTAAGAACCACATGAAGGTGCACGCCAGCAAGCTGGGCCCGCTGCGCGCCCCGGGGCCTGGCTCCGGGCCTTCTCGGGCTCCCCAGCCTCCTGACCTGGGCCTGCTGGCCTATGAGCCGTTGGGTCCAGCGCTCCTGTTGGCCCCGGCGCCTACCCCGGCCGAGCGCCGTGAGCCCCCGAGCCTCTTGGGCTACCTGAGCCTGCGAGCTGGCGAGGGCCGGCCCAATGGCGAGGGTGCTGAGCCCGGGGCCGGCCGCAGCTTCGGAGGCTTCCGCCCGCTATCCTCTGCTCTCCCGGCCCGGGCTCGCCGGCACCGTGCGGAGGAGCCCGAGGAGGAAGAGGAGGTGGTGGAGGCCGAGGAGGAGACCTGGGCCCGGGGCAGGTCAATGGGCCCTCTGGCTTCCCTGCACCCGCGCCCGGGTGAGGGACCTGGGCACTCTGCGCCTGCTGCTGGGGCCCAGGCGAGATCGACCGCCACGCAGGGTATGTAGGGACCCTCCTCTCTCGGGGTACGCTGCGTCCTTCTCTGACTCTTACGCCGCCACTCCCCTTGTAGCTTCCTTTTTAAAAGAACCTGTCTTTTATTTCTCCTGAGTTTTTTTGTTTGTTTTGTTTGTTTTGCTTTTTCCTGGAGACTTTGCCATCATCTGAGAACACTTAACTCTTTGGTCGCAACGAATCTAACTGCTCAGGTTCCAGTTCCCCCATACCTGCTGTTTCCTCCTGGACCCCGAGGGGAAGCAGCCTTATGGGGTGGGTGTGGGGTGGGTGCGTGGGACCTGGACAGGGTGAAGGGCCCCCTGACTTCCCCTTAACGTATGTGTTGCAGAAGAGAATGGGCTGTTGGTTGGAGGGACCAGGCCTGAAGGGGGCCGGGGCGCCACCGGCAAGGATTGTCCCTTCTGCGGAAAATCTTTCCGCTCGGCACATCACCTCAAAGTGCATCTGCGAGTGCACACAGGTGAGGGAGGCAGCCTCCGGCGTGGAGAAGGGACTGGGGGGCTAGAAAGGTGAGGGCTGCTGAAACACCAGAAAGTGAAGTTTGCTCCGAAGCGTTCAGTTTGGCTAGATATCACTTGGGAAACACTCCTTTATTCAGTCAAAGTGGGTGGGATGTTCTGAGGTTGAGGTCTGTAAATTGGGCAAAATTCGGGTGGGTGCGTGCTGTGATCGTGACCCTGTGATCCTATCCCACCCACTCTCCCCAGGCGAGCGGCCCTACAAGTGTCCGCACTGCGACTACGCGGGCACCCAGTCCGGCTCGCTCAAGTATCACCTACAGCGCCACCACAGGGAGCAGAGGAGTGGGGCCGGCCCCGGGCCACCCCCGGAGCCACCGCCCCCTTCCCAGCGGGGTTCAGCCCCGTCATCTGGAGCCAAGCCGTCTCCGCAGCCTGCGACCTGGGTGGAGGGCGCCTCAAGCCCCCGGCCTCCTTCTAGCGGTGCTGGGCCGGGGTCCCGTCGGAAGCCCACCAGCCCTGGGAGGACCCTGCGCAACGGGCGAGGCGGTGAGGCCGAGCCCCTGGACCTGTCCCTGCGGGCAGGGCCGGGAGGCGAGGCCGGGCCGGGGGGTGCCCTCCACCGCTGCCTCTTCTGCCCTTTCGCCACTGGAGCCCCGGAGCTCATGGCCTTGCACCTTCAGGTGCACCACAGCCGCCGGGCTAGGGGCCGCCGGCCACCTCAGGCTGACGCGTCCCCACCCTATGTCCGAATACCATCAGGGGAGACCCCTCCCAGTCCTTCGCAGGAAGGGGAGGAGGGTTCTGGGCTGTCCAGACCGGGAGAGGCAGGGCTGGGGGGGCAAGAACGGTAGTGAGCCCTCAGGGGCGATTAGCTTAGTGAGCTTACCCCGCCGGAGCGGGGGAGCGCTAGAGGTAGTTGGGTAGAGACGCCAGCAGGGGGCAGCGTGGGACCCATATCCCAGCCCCAGGCGGACCAGAGGTGGAGGGGGCGGCGGGCGTAGGAGGGTGGGCTGGTGGTACCCACCCAGCCCAAGGGAGTCACAGTGCCTTAGAAGTGGCAGAGGTGAGGGTCAAAGAACAGAGTCCCAGGGCTGGCAGAGAGGGTTTGTGTCCCGGTTGAGGAGCCACTCTGCCAGTCTTTGCTGGTCCATAGGCGTGAGAGTTTATTTTTGTACAAGGGGTGAGGGTGGGGGGGCACTGTACCCTTCTAGCCCCATCAGGGGCCCTGTAGACGTTGCTATTTTTGGTACGATTCCTGTCATCCCTGTCGCAGAGTCGTGTCCCCAATAAACAGGTGTCTTGAGGCACAGGGCCCTGTGTCTGTCTGGCTACCCATGTCATGCTCCCCTCCTTGGGCCCTCTGCTCAGGAAGCAGTCACCTCTTCAGACACTTAGTTGTCACCCAAAGGGTTTGATAAGAAATGCAGAATATTGGGTTTACCCCCAGGTTTCGATGCAGCAGCTCTGGTGGGGTCCAAGAATTAGCATTCAACAAGTAGCCCAGCAGGTTCTCATCCACTGTGGCCTGAGGACCTCATTTTGAGAACCGCTGGACTAAGCTGGATCCCAGTTTGTCTACAACCAGTTCAGCCTCAAGGAGTAGATGTAATGTGGGAGAAGGAGCTTCAGAGAGTGTGTGGACCCTCTGGGAGCCACTGTGGAGGAGGCACATTCTCCCAGGCTCATACACAGTCAGCTCTGGGCCTGGGAAGTGTAGAGGGGGCCTTCCCATCTTGGTTTTATTTTCTGTGTTCTAGTTAAGGGCTAGATGAGGGAAAGTGCTCAAGTTATTTATCACCTTAATCCAGAGGACTACTCTAGCTCCTTGGAGGCAAAGTATGCGTAAATACATTTAATATAACAATAGTATTGTAATAGTGATTACATATATAAAGTCTACAGTTCCCCGTCACACCCTCCTATTATTGTTTGCATAGCTCCATTTCCTGTGGCATCTCAGAATGGAGTCACCAGGAACTCCAGTTGACCTGGCAGAGATGATTCTTCTCAGGGAGAGTCAGGGGGTGAGAAAAGAGGAGAACATGGGCTGCCAGGGAGGGCTGGCATGGGAGTGATGTCCTGGATTCAGTGGCCCAGGATGGGAAAGCACCAGAAGAGGGGTAACTTCCCCACCTCCAGGGTATGAAGGCAAGCAATATGGCTGCTCTGGCTCCTGCAGGAAAAGGCACCAAGCTAGGGAGACTAGAGAGAGTGGTGGCAGGGCAATGCTCTGGTCCTTAGACCTCCTCTGTGTCCAGGAAGCAGAGGGAAGAAATTCAGTGATCACCCAGTGCTCCATTATGCCCCACTGCCATCCCAGCCCAAAGTGTGCTGAGAGGAGAAGCTGCAGGCAAGTTCTGGATCTTCTCTAGAAGCCGGGAGAGAAGAGGGAGATGAGTTGGGAGAGGGAAGAAGCTGACTCCCATGTAGCCGGGGAGAGGAAGAAAGGTACATGCAAGAGGGAAGGAGTGTTGGCTGTGGTAGAAATTAGGGATGCTGACTCACCCAGGTCACAGAGGTGTGGTGGGGTCACTCAGGGCTCGAGCATGACTCTGGGGGGAGAGAAATTAGAGTTAATTTAGGGATATATTTCCTGTCTCTCTTTTTTCCTCCTTCCATCCCTCCCCACAAGCCTGTCAATTCACCTCTCTTTCCTCCCCAGAGTCCTTGAATTTTGCTATTTACTTTTTTTTTTTTTTTTTCCAGAGACAGGGGATTGCTGTCACCCACACTGGAGTGCAGTGGCACAAACATAGCTCACGAAGTCTCAGCTTCCTGGGCTCAAGAGATCCTCCTGCTTCAGCCCCCCAAGTAGCTGGGACTATAGGTGTGCACTCCTCAAAAGTCCAACTAATTTAAAAAATTATTATTATAATTTTTTAGAGACAGGATCTCACTACATTGCCCAGGCTGGTCTTGAACACCTAGGCTTAAGTGATCCTCCCACCTCAACTTCTGAAAGTCTGAGATTACAGGTATGAGCCACCTCACCTGGCATGAGTTTTGCTATTTTAACCCAAGTCCAAGCCAGGCCATTGGCATTCTCCCCTTTCCATCCACTCCAGCACTATACTCCTTTTTCAAGATTCCTTTTAACCTATGACCTTGGTGCCTCTTAGCCAGGTCCCGGGAAGAGGAGAAAGGTAGACAAGATAACAAATCCACTCTGTAGCCTCAGCTGGGAGTACAAGTTCAGTTCCCCCCACTCCCCCTCCCCGCCCCAGGATTTAATGATCAGAAAAGCCCACCCAGAAAGCCACCAAAGAGATCACCCCATTCCCAGCCTCACTGTAGGAACTTACCTGCCGGGATAGCCCTAAGATCCCTCCACTGGCCAGGGTGGGAGTGCTGCTCCCAGGGGGGGCGGGTTGCAGGCTGGGGCTGTTTCTTGGTCCTGGGGACACATCTCCAGAAGAGTCAAGTGTTTCTGGGGCTGAAGGGGAAGCTAGGGTGAGAGCAGAGTATAGAATCCCTCCAGATTACCTTAAGCAACCAAGCTGCTCCATCAGGGAAGAAAAAGCTCCATAGCAACAGGAAGCTGTGAGTCACCATAGCGATCCAGTTGCAAGGGAACCCCCTACCAAGAGGCAGGAAATTGTCAGCAGCATCATTAGAGCAACCAGGGAAGAAGCGACAGGAAACTATAAGGATTGCTGTGGTGAACCAGGAGGGTACAACAGGAAGCTGAGGCAGTTTCCATAGAAACCCAAGGGGAGCTAGAGAGAGAGGTACAGAGGAAGTGCTTCTTAGCAACAGGCGTTGTAAGCATCACCCTAGCAACCAGAAGGCTCTTTTAGCAGTGGGGAAGCTGTACATAGTTGTCATGGCAACTGGGCTACTTGGCTAGATAAAGGAATTGCTCAGCAGCAAGCAGCCTGAACATCACCACCATGACCGAGCTGTTGGGAGCCACCCCTTGAGAGGTGCCTCACCCAGGGAAATTTGCTTGACGTCCAGATCCCAGGCCTCCTCCTCGACGCGGGCAGGCAGGGAGCAGGCTCCCGGCGAAAGGCCGGGAAGGGAGGGGCCGGCATGCTCAAAGGATGACACGGCCACGGAGGCCCGAGTGCGGGCGGCTGCAGAGAGTGGGGAGTTGGGGGTGGGGTGCTGGTGTGGGAAAGCCCTCTTGGCTCCCTGGAATGACCCTCAGTCTCATAGAGGGCCTCCCAGTCAGTCCCACCGATTTTGGGACGAGATGCCCTTCCTGACTTTCCACCACATCTCCCCTTTTTATCCTCATTGTCAAGGTCTTCACTCCTGGGGGCCACCCCCCAGCACCCTGGCCCTCACCTCTTCCAGTGAGCAGGGCACTCAGCGTCCGCTCCCCAAGGGCTTTGATGTCCAGGAAGGGTTTATTCCCAATGCCCATGGAGACCATCTGCTGCACTCGGAGCTCTGGGGAACAGGGACACTTGTTACCAACTTCTTCCTTCCCCTCCCCCTAGCTCTAGCATGTCACAGTTGACTCTTTTTTCTTTTCTCCTTCCTAACCCTGATTCCTCCCTCTCATTCCTCTGGTGTCTCTTGTTACTTCTTCTGTTGACTACCACAACATGCATGGCAATGATGGTATGACTTCCTCCTCAGATATCTGGCTCTTCTCCCAAGTATGTTGCATCTTGCCCATTCGGCATCTAGCCGCCTCTGCATCTTGGGTGTTAAGAGCAAACAAAAACTCACATTTTTACATACCTTTACAGTTTACAAGGTGCTTCCATATAGCTCACCTTACTTAGTCATTCCTGTTACACTATTTCATTTCAGATGAGTGGAATGAAGTTCAGAAAATTAAAACCAAGGTGAAACCCAGCAAAAAAACAAAAATTAAAAACAAAACTAACAAAAAACTAGTCCAGGTCACACAGCAAGTAGCAGCAGTTCTTAAATCCAAGTGAGCAGTTTCTCACCTTCTTTTCCAAGCCATTTGCTTTATTACTATTAATATTATTTTTATATTATTATTATTATTATTTTCTGTCACACAGGCTGGAGGACAATGGCGAGATCTCGGCTCACTGCAACCTCCGCCTCCCAGGTTCAAGCGATTCTCCTGCCTCAGCCTCTGGAGTAGCTGGGATTACAGGGGCCCGCCACTATGCCAGGCTAATTTTTGTATTTTTAGTAGCGATGGGGTTTCTCCATGTTGGTCAGGCTGGTTTCAAACTCACAACCTCAGGTGATCCGCCTATCTCGGCCTCCCAAAGTGCTGGGATTACAGGCATAAGCCACCATTCCCAGCCAAAAATTAAAAAAAAAAAAAAAAATTCTTTAAAGACAGGGTCTTGCTTTGTCACCCAGGCCATGCCTCTTGTGCACACTGCCGCTGAAACTACAACTCGAAGCAGAGTCCGCTGTTTCATCCAGGCTCAAGTGCAGTGGCACCATCATAGCTCACTGTAGCCTTGAACATTTGGACTCAAGTGATCCTCCTACCTCACCCCTCAAATAGCTAGGAGTACAGGCACACACCACCATGCCCAGTTAATTTTAAAATTTTTTGTAGAAACGGGGTCTCACTATGTGCACAGGCTGTTCTTGAACTCCTGGCCTCAAGCAATCCTCCCACCTTGGCCTCCCAAAATGTGCTGGGATTATAGGCATAAGCCACTGCTGCACCCAGCCCCTACTTGCTCTTGCTTCCCTGAAATTTGCCAGCTTTCTCTTTCTTTTTGGTATGTCTTAGGCTCATTTCTACCTCAGTAATCTCTCTCAAGCCAGATTTTGAATCTTATTATAAACCATTCTTTCTTCACCCTATTCACTGTTTTCCCAAGCAGTCTGCACACTCTCCAGAAAACTTCCTGCTATAACCCTGACTCCAAGCACCCCCTCCCTCAGCTCTCCAGTACCCTTGTTGTGGGCTGCCTGTCTCCACAGCAGCTGGGCAATAGAACTTGTCCACTTGAGTTTGATCTCTGGTGAGGTTGCCTGCAGAGTGTATGCCTCTCGTGCACGCCGCCGCCGAAACCACAACTCAAAGCAGAGTCCGCTGTCCCCGATGTTTTCTGTCAGCCCCATGTCAGCAGTCTGAGGACGAGCAGAGGGCAGCGGGTGAAGACAGAGCGAGTCCTGGCTGGGTGGCCCCACAAGGCAAGAACTGGGCTTTGCCTGGCATCTGATAGATGTGCAGTAAACGTTTGCTCAACCCCTATCATGTGCTGAGGGCCCTACATTTAGTCTTTGTAACAACCATAATTTATGGAAGGGGAAACGAGACCCAGAAACATGAAGCAACTTGCACAAAGTCTCCTCACAGCTTATTAAAGCCGGAATGGGACCCAGCCTTTATGTTATTCCAAAGCCAGGCCTTTTCTTCTATGCGATTCTCCCCGCTGAAGAGCTGGAACTAGTGCAAAGGGTACAAAGTCTAGAAACCCTTAGAATCCATCCCACACTGCCTGATCCAGGACCATACGTTGCTATAAATGTTTATCTGGATATCAAGGCTGTTTCCCTAAAGCAAGGTTTCCCTCTTCTTGGATTCTTTAGTCAAAGTATAGCGTGCTTTCTCCTCAAGTCCTAGCAACCATCCCTAATTCCAAAAGCATGTGTGTCCTTAGTGGGAAAGTTCCTCTTCCAGTCTGGTTTGGAATGTCTCCTAAGTCTCCTTCATGAATGATAAGGAAAACCTCATGAGGTAGACCAATGACAGGGACTTCTAACATCCCCTAACACCCTAACTCGATGGTCAGTTACAAGCCAAAGCCTGTTCTAGATGATGCAGATTCTAAACCTGTGTTGGGGCTGAATTTCCAGAACATCCTGAGTTCTCAAGAAGAGAATGACTTCCTGTCACCTCCACCACCCACTCCAGGAATTGTACCTTAAAGGCCTGCTTGTAAACAAACATCTCTGACCCCCCTTCAGGGCCCTTGAGCTTGCTGAACAGGAGGAGATGCTCAAAGAGAAAGACATGGCGAAGGCACTTCTTTCGGCCACAGATGATAGTGAAGGGGTCTCGATGCAAGAGCTGTCCCTGCTCCTTCAGATCTATCTGGAGAAAGGAAAAGGAAAAGTGGTTGGCCCAGGGGTCCTTTGTTTGTATTTTACAGGGAGAAAAAATAGATTTGTAGGGCAAGAGGCCTAATGCACTGGTTCACAGGCAGAGTCAGGAAGTCAGGGAAGCCCTCAGCCTAGAGTCCATCCGCTGGTCGCCATGCACAGCACACCTGGCCGAGCAGCACAGCCCTGTCTCTGAAGATGGGAAGGTGCATTGCACAGCAGAGTTTACAACCTCCTGTGGGGAAGCCTTTGCAAGCTGGGGATCCAGGAAGAGAATCAGCAAAGAACTGAAAGGAAAATAGGGCTATTCCAGAGGAGTATACAGGATTCCAACATGTTCTGGAACCTCTGGGCTGGAAAAAGACTAGGTAGAGGAGAATAAGGTATGTGTTGGGTGTTGAGATGCAGGAGAAAGTATAGGGTAGATGGGGAAAGATGACAATTAGGAAAGGAACGGGAGAGTCCAAGGTGGATGTAGGAACATGGGGTGTTGGGAGGACATAGCTTCTTTATTTATGAATGAGAAAAACGAGGCCCAGTGAAGTTCAGTGACTCAATCAAGGCCACCCAGCTGGTTAGAAATTAGAGCCTGGGCCCTCTGACCTGGAGCCTGGTTCTCCTGTCACCAGCCTACATGGCTTCTGAAGCCAGGGCTGGGCAGTTTGAGCGGGAGTGACTGGAGCCAGGGCCTCACCTCACAGCCACGCACTGCCTCCACGGCCAGCAGGTCTCTGCCACGGGCCTCTTGTTCCCGGAGCAGCTGCACAGCAGCCCCAAGGGCCTGGCGCTCAGAACTCAGCTCAGGCCCAGCTTCTCTCAGGAGCTCCTCCAGGAGCCGCCCGTACCGAGCCAGCTGTTCCAGGGGCTGCTGCAGGGCTCGGGGCAGGTAAGGGCCAGCCTCCATGGAGCCCTAGGTTGAGGACACAGACAGGTATGAGGGGAGGGCTGCAGCCTTTGGAGGCCAAGCTCAGGGGTTGGGGGGTGGATGGGTGATACGCTAGGCTTTTGGGTATATATGAAGCCCAGATGCTCCCTAAAGTAAGGCAAAAACCCTTCTCCCTGGAAAGAAAGCAGGTGGTGGCCTGCAGGCCAGCAATCATCATCTATATCTTGAAGGGAAATGGAAGAAGAATTAAAATAGTAATCCCCTGTACTCTCTACCTTTGAACTTTTAAAGTCACTTGTACATCCTTTGATGTGAGCTTTTCTGATCCTCAGAGCCTCCCTGTGGGCTGACTATAATGACTAATGCCCCCATTTACCAGATGCGGAAATAGAGGCCCAGAGGAATCAGGAGTCCTGCCTAGTCCCTCAGGTGGGCAGGATAGGAACCCAGCCTCCCAGTCCACTGCTTGCTCCACCCTTGGTAATCCTAGGAGATGACTGGTAGGTGATGTTCCTGGGCATGTCCAGGAAAGCTTTTTTTTTTTTTTTTCTTTGAGGGATTTTGTTGGGTGGGTTTTTAGGTCTTCCTGGCCCTCTTCTTTCCTTCTGAAGGTTGGAGAAAGGGTTACCTTGGTGGAGGGGCTGAGCGCAGCCAGACCATTCTCCAGTTTGTGCCGGTGCTTCACGTACTGGGCGTAAAGGCTGAACTGGTCCCCCTGCACCAGTAAAGAGCAGACAATGCGTCCCTGGCTAGGCCCCTGCAGACAAAGCTCTCCCTTCCCCCTCCCCATCCTCTCTGTATCCCAAAGGAGAGAAGAGTCACCAGGGAGTACTCAGCCTGCCAGGGAGTGAAGGGCTCCCTGTGGAGAGAGTATAGTTCCAGCAGCCCTTGAGAGGAGGGACACAGAGGCTGGTAGAGGCAGAGGTGCCCACAGAACAGGGCTGGGTGCCAGAGTCATGAGGACAGTGGGTACTAAGAAGGAGGGACAGATGGATGAGGCTGGAGCAGGGAAGGCAGAGCACTTGGAAGAGCTTGAGGAGATCACTCACATGGCGAAGGAAGCAGGCCCCAATGCGCAGGGGGTGGGTGGCGCAGCCCTGAAGCTCCCGCAGAAAGTGTGTCCGGTGGAAGCTGCGAAGCCTTTCCCGGGCACTCAGGGTGGCAGCCCAGGTGCCTCGAAGTTCAGGAGTCAGCTCAGGCCCAGGGGGTGGTACTGGCTCACTTAAGGTGGCCACGTAATCTTGTTCACAGGCAATCAGCTCAGACACTAGACGCTGCTGGGCACTGCAGGCACAAGAGGAGTGGCAGAGGAGGTGTCATCTGGGTCGTGGGAGGGGCCACTACCCTCAACAATGTCATCTTCTTTTTCTACTGGGCAGTTGGGTCTGCCTCTTGGGCACCAGTTGGGCTGGGGTCTCACCTGATGCTTCGCTTGCGCTCCATCCGGGGGGTGCCTACTCCCCAGGGTCCGTCTGGCCCCCCGGCCCGGCCCAACAGCACATGTTCCCGAGGTGAGCATGTCCTGTCTACCACCTCAGTGCTGGTGACCTCCAGGCCTCGGATCAGCACAGCCCATGGGGGCCTGCCCTCTGCTTCTGGAGCCAGCTCAGGGCCCTCCTCCTTATAGTCTTCTCCACATGGGGCCAGGGAGCAATGGGATGGGGCTGCCCGTGGCCCAGGACTGCTGGAGATCAGCAAGGAGCTGAGGCTGGGTGAGGGGCTGTGGGGGCCCCATTGGGCCCCTCCGCTGCTGGCACTGTCTGCTCGCCGTCGCCGGTACCCCTGCGGGCTTGCCTCCTCTCCCAGGTGTTGCTGAATCCTCCTTTCCAGCTCTTGGCAGCGTGCCCGGCAGCGGCCCCATTCTCGAAGGGCTGCTGGGCTGCCCAGGTCCAGGGCCAGGGCCCGCATCTCCTGGAAGGTGCCGCCACTGGGCTCTGGGGCCCGCCGCAGGGCCAGTGCCGCCAACACGGCCTCCCGACCCGGCCCAGCTCCTGCCAGCCGAGCAAAACCCTCATCCACCCATTCATGTGCCTACAAAGTCAAAGGGGTTGGGGATGGGAGAGAAAGGGTAAGGCCCTGTGCTGCTCCCAAAGGATGCCCAAGAAAAGCTGTGTCCTCTTGCCTGTGGCTTCCCAGTGCCCATCACCCTCCCCGTTTTCTCACTGTCCCAGCATCACTGCCTAACCATGTCACTCGGAGTTGGTATGGAGATGGAGGAGCCTATATAGAAGAATAGCCAGTACTTATACAAAGTATATGAATGGCAGGCTCTATGCTAAGTGCTTTTTTTTTTTTTTTTTTTGAGACGGAGTTTCGCTCTTGTTACCCAGGCTGGAGTGCAATGGCACGATCTCGGCTCACCACAACTTCCGCCTCCTGGGTTCAGGCAATTCACCTGCCTCAGCCTCCTGAGTAGCTGGGATTACAGGCACGCGCCACCACGCCCAGCTGAATTTTTGTATTTTTAATAGAGACGGGGTTTCACCATGTTGACCAGGATGGTCTCGATCTCTTGACCTCGTGATCCACCCGCCTCGGCCTCCCAAAGTGCTGGGATTACAGGCTTGAGCCACCGCGCCCGGCTGCTAAGTGCTTTTTTATATTGCCTCATGTAATCCCCACAGCGGCCCTGTGGGCCAGATCTATGGAGGCACAGTCAGGTTTAGTATCTTGTCCCAGTCATTCAGCAAGGAGGTGGCAGAGCTAAGAGTCAAAACCAAGAAGATGGGCTCCTCAGCCACTGCCTCTCACAGCTTGATTAGCCTCTCCAGGTAGAGGGGAAGTAAATAAATGGAAATGGTGGGCACAGAAGGAAAAGACCATGCACCTGCTGGAAGAAGCGCTGTAGCCGCAGGGCCCGGTGGAGGCCACTCTCAACCTGCTCCAGCCTCTGTTCAAAGATATCCAGCATCTTCTGGGAGGTGGCATTCTCCTCCAGAGCCAGGGCTTCCCGCGCCTGGGCCAGGCGCTCCTGGAGAAGGGAGGCTGTGCTCATACCTGGTCCTCACTCCCAGGTAGTATCCGTCTGCCTCCTCTCACCTGCCCTCCTGCCCTTTCTCACCTGGACCTCAGCGCTGAAGGCCCGGAATCGAAGCTCTGTTTCCTGCAGGGCAGACAGGGTATCCCCAGGCACGGTAAAGCTCGCCAGCTGCTCCTCCCCTGGGCCCGAGAGCCACTGCAATACCTGAGGCAGATGGGGTGGGAGGGCATGGGGCCATGGAGTGAAAAGGTAAAGAAGGGCTGAGATCCAGAGTCGGCCCCACCACCCCAATCTGTAGAACCTTGAGCAAACTATTGCATCTCATCTGCAACGTGTGAGTAACAACAGTGAATAGTAATGGCTTCCACAAGGGTCAAGTGAGAAACCGAGTAAGAAATCTTTAATAACATGCCAGATGAGAGGGAAGCTGAGCTGTTGGGAAGTACTGAGGGAGGTGAGTCAAAGTTTCAGGGCTATGCCTGAGGGTGAAGTACATCAAACTGGGGAGAACCAAAGGGAGGATGAGGGTCCTATGGATGACTGAGGCCTTTCACCAAGCCTTGGCAACTGGTGGGCAAGGGTCCCAGGGACCAGGCCTGGAGGAACAGCACAGAAGCGGTGTGTGTGTGGGGGTGTGTGTTTGTGTGTGTGTGTCTGGCTTTAGTTGCCTATTATGGGCCATAAGAACTCTCATGCTGGTTCTGAGATGTTTGACCAAAAAGGGATGGTAATGTTTTCCTCTGAAGAAAGGCTGGAAGCTGGGGGTGGGACAGCCTGAGGATGAGAAGTCTGAGACTGTTTGTAATAGCCAGTGCCAATAATAACAACCACTTTTATAGTCCTTTGCTAAACTCATTTGATCTTTCTAACCACCTTTTCAGCAAATTGTTATCATCCCCATTCTACAGACGAGGACTTGGGAACTGAGAGAAGCTTCATGAGTTGTCCAACATCTGACATAGGGCAGAACTAGGACTCAAGCTGAGCACTTTAGACTCCAAATCTCGTTTTTAAACAGTTGGGGAAACAGCTAATAAGCAAGTAAGCAAATGGGAGGAGATGCAACCCACCTCAAGGATATTGGCTTAGAGGAAGTCAATATGAAGGAATCCTAGGAAACAGAAAGTCTTGGCCCCTGCTTTGGCACTGGCCCTGAGATGACCTTTCCCCTGATGCCCACATGCAAGTCCATGAAGTGTTCACTCACCATGCTCGGGGCTAAGGAGGAACAATCAGATTTCAAAGCCCCCTCTACCCCACATGGTAGGGTGAGAGCAAATCTGTATGAGGCTCTTAACCTCAGGAGAGAAGAATCAAGGTTCAAAGAAGCCAGCCTTATTCCTGAATCTTCCCCACAAAGAGGCCTGTTTTTGGTCTCTCCTTCCAAGGTGGAGGAAGATGGGACCTTTCTGGCCTCAGGTCTGAGGGATGACATTGCATAAGGAGTTAAGGGTGCCTGTGTGGCAGTGTAACTAATGACCTGGTATCAATAGACATTTATTATTTTTCAGCCAAGGAGGCAGGCACTCCAGAGTCAATTGGCTCTTTTCAGAATCCCCTATGGCAACTGAGCATCTCTCACAATCTCTCAGCATCTTCAATCAAGCATGATATACAGAGGGGACGGGGAGCTCTGGCTTCTTTTCTTTACTGGTGCTACGGTACTCCCACCCTCTTGCTGAATCTCACACTTTCCATGACCAAGCTCCAACAGAGGTGAGGAGAGAGGGAGGGGCATTCAACCAAGCCAGGACAGGAGAACATCATCAACTATAAACACCAGTGGGAAAGGTGCTGGGGGCGACACTCCCACGCTGAGTAAGAGGGACGTGGGGGTTCTGGCTCACCTGCTGGAGTCGCCGCAGGCACTGCCGCTGCTCTTGCTGCTGCACGTGCAGGTTGGAGAGGCATACGAGCTGGTGAATGGCCTCATCCACTTCCTGATACAGCGTGGCTGGGCCTTGGCCCTCCAGCCTGGGGAAGGAGCAGGGAAGAATGAATCACTCCCCTTGTTGAGCCCCTCCATTCTGTCCTCCAAACCCTCCGAGGGATGCAAACATGAGAGGTTGCATAGCAGCATGGATCAAAAGCACAGGCTGGACCCCACTGCTTTGGTTTGAATCCTGACTCTACTGACTGATGTTGGCCAAGACAGTTAACACTTCTGATCCTCCAAATCCTCATTTGTAATGGTGAATGGCACAGAAGGATGTTGTGAGGGTTATGAGATAGCAAGTTTAAAAGCATGGTATCTTTCCCAGATACAAGTACAGTTAGAATGGTCTGGCAGCTAAGGTTTGTTGGCAGCCGTTGGCTGTGTCTCCTCCTCCCACTTCCACCTGCCTCCACACACCCATCCCTCATACTTGCTGCTGTGAGTGGAGCGCAGCCTCATCAGGATGGCCCCCCCATCCCTCTGCAGTGCCGTCAGCCGGGGATCTGCCAGCACCTTCTGCAGGGGCTTGGGCATTCCCACTGTCTCCTGGGGATAGGGAGCAGTTGCCAGTTGGGGTTCCACCAGAGCATCTCCATCCCAGCCCCATCCCAATCCCATCCCCCACTGTCCCATTTCATTTCATACCTCTCCCTCTGGCTCTGCTGCTCCCTCCAGCTCCTCAATGGCCTGCCGTACTGAGCCCAGCACACCTTGGCACAGGTGGCATAGCCTTACCACTTCCTGAAACCCACATGCAGGGATGGAGTTGAGGATCAGAGTTTAAGAAAGAACCTAAGCCCTAGGGTTGGGGTGAGGTAGCCCCAGAGACTTTTATGGAGGCAATGCTGAATTCAGTTCTTGACTTTGTTGCTTACTATGATGTACGATGTTGGGCAGGTCCAGAAACCTTCCCGAACTTCAGTTCCTCAACTGTAAAGTCAGGATAAGCCAGGCTTCTGTGATTTTTAAGGAGATGATGCCAGCTCAGCAACTAGCATGACCCTGGCACACTGTACAGCTTGGTAACTGTGACCTTCCTTTCCCTCTGTCTTCAGTGGGGCTTCACCCTGTCAAACCCCCTCTCTCTGCCTGTTCATGTCTACTTCCCCTTTGACACTAATGGGGAAGCTTAGAGACCATCTACAGACCCCTCTTTTGTATTCAGCTCAGATCATGTTTATTTCTCTCTTCTTGAATAAGCACAGCACTTATATTCATAGAATCACATAAGTGCTGAAAGGAACTTTAGCAATTATACTATAATTGCTACACTTCGCTGATGAGGATCCTGAGGGCTGGATGTTGGTACAAGGAGCAGGTACAGAAAGAGCACTATTTCTGCAAGTGAGGTAAAGTAATTTGGAACAAGAACCAGCCTTTTGTCTCTCAGTGCTTTCCAGAAACCCAGTGACACTATCTTGCACTCTTTACTTGTTTCATGATTTATCTCCCACCAAAGCAAAGGGCTACTTAATGTCATATTAAGAATATATTTGGCTGGGTACGGTAGCTCACGCCTGTAATCTTAGCACTTTGAGAGGCTGAGACGGGCAGATCACTTGAGTCCAGGCGTTTGAGATCAGCCTGAGCAACATGGCAAAACCCCATCTCTTCAAAAAATACAAAAATTAGCTGAGTGTGGTGGCATGTGCCTATAGCCCCAGCTACTCAGGAGGTTGATGTGGTAGGATCGCTTTAGCTCGGGGGGTCTGCACAATAACATGCACTCCAGCCTGGGCAACAGAGTGAGACTATCTAAAAATAATAATAATTTGTTTAACATACTCCTCCCATCTCCCCAGTAGACCATGGCACAGTGCACATATTTTCCTCATGATTTGGAATCCATAAATACTTGTTGAATGGAATGGAATGGAAACCACTTTTTTGCAACCCCGTGGTATGTCCTTGATCTGGCCTCTTTCCTAGAATGTCTTCAGCTGGGTCATTCACGGCTCCCAGCATGCTAGGTGGTAGAGAAGCTTACCTGGTGTACCTCTACCCAGTGACTCGGAGAGGGGTCCCTGTGACCTCCTAATTCCCACTGTAGCTCCTCTGGCTTGGCCACTCTTTTCAGATCATTCTCTGACAGCACCTCAGCACCCTGTAGAGGGTAAGGCAGGGGGTTTCTTCCTGGGCACCCAAGGACTCAGAAACCAGCCTGGGGCTCCAGCCAGCCTTTTCTTCTCTCTCCACTACTGATGGGAAACTAGGTGGGAATGAAGGGCTCAAACCTGAAATCCACAGAGTTCAGCTGGAGGGTCATCATGAGTGAGAATCAGCAGTCGCTGAATGAGGGGAGGATCTCCTGAGTCCTAAGGGCAGAGAAGAAAAACCCTAAACTGGGCAATTGGGTGTCCTGGACTGGCCACCAGTGAAGAGTTAGGATCTAGGGGAACTGCCTGTTCAAGGTGTGGTTACCTGAAGTTGGCTCAAGACAGGAAGGAGTGCTGGAGGCAGTGGAGGTGCCTGGCGAAGGTCCAGCAGGATGGACAGCCCCAGTATCTGTAGATCAGGCCTGTGGGGGCAGGAAGAGCCAAGAAGGCTGCTGTGTGTGTGTTGTGGGGAATAGCGGATAAGGCAAGGCAGATATACAGGGTCTGCTTTCAGTTAATAGTCCTCAGGAGAAATTAGTAGCTGGTACATTTGGGAAGAAATGGGCAAAGGGCCAAATTCTGGGATGTGTGTACAAGGAGAAATGACCTAGCAGTCGGAAGTCTATATTCGTATGGCTACTAGGTCAAGGGATTAAGGTCTGGAAAGTTAGGAATTCTGTTCTGGAATGACATGAATTCAATGTCAGCCTAACAGGAACTCAGTGCTCAATAGTATGGTGCCTAACAGGAACTCAGTGCTCAATAAATATTTGTTGAATAAGTGAACCAATGTCCTGATGATCTAGGTAGTGGTGGAGGATAGTGAAAGTCAACAGTGTTGCTTTTGAGGATCGATGAGGATATGAAGCTGGAGGCTGGGGTCAGTAAGACCAGAGGGCAATGACTTGAAATCTGAAGGTTGAAGATGCAGGTGTCCTTAGCAGTCAGAAGGTCAGTGTCCTGAAAAGTAGGTGAGGGTCCTCATGAATCAGGAGGTTAGTGTCCAAGATGCCAAGACTGGGCCTCGGTTACCTGAGCAGTGAGTGGAGGTAATGAAGAGTAGTGCTCAGCGTGTCTCGGGAGGGTGGGGGCTCCTCAGGAGGGCACCGTGGGGTAATGGTCAGCAGAGCTCGCCCACTCTGGTCCACCCCTCCTGAAGACACAAAATGGCCAGGCTGTCCTGGCTGGGAGTAGTCCACACCTACCTCCCTTCCACCCTGCCTCCCCTGCCCCCAAGCCCACTCAATTGCTTCTCTTTCCCCAATCCTTTTTCCCTTCACCCACTGATGCCCACTGACCGGTCAGGATGAGGAATCCAGATGCCATCAAGTCCCAAGCTACATCAGTGTCATCAGAGATGGAGACTGGAAGGCCCTCTTCCGGAATGCTGTCCCCTTTTCCTCCCTGCACAGTCTCCAGCGGAGGTGTTGGAGGGTCAGACAGGAAGCCTTCGGGGTCTGTGTGTCCTGCACAGAATCAGACAGAAAAATGGGACTGAAGTTAAGATGGTTCTGGTTGTTACGGCTCCCAGCCTAACCCTGCTCCTCCTCCCGCTCCCTCCCCTAGGCCTGCCCTGCTTTGGCCCTTGGCCCATGGGCCTCAGTGTCATCTCACCTGCCACACACAGTAGACCTGGCCCCTGCTGCTCTCTCTCTCTGGCCTCCTCTTCTGTTGGCCCACAGGCTTCTGGGGGCTGAGGCTCTTTTTTATCTGCTGGTTTGAGCTCCTCTTTTGGCTCAGATTCTGGCTTCCCTGCACCTTCATATTCCTCCTTAACCAGGCTGCATTCTGGAAGCTTGTGCTCACTTGGTGAGGGCACATTGCCAAGGGCTTCTTGGTGGCTGGCCTCTTCCTTGTCCCCAGAGCTCAGTGGGGCACTGTCCCCTCCTCGGCTTAGAGCCCCTCTGCCTGCAGCTCGCTTCTTTCTTCTGTTTCCTTTGCCTGTTCTCCGAGGGGTACCAGGTGGTCCTTCAGCCCCTTGGCCTCCTCCTCCTCCTCTAAGCTCCCCTGGCCTCAGGGGGCAAGATTTAGAAGCTTCTCCCAAGGCCTCTGCTGGGGCCTCAGACACCTGCAAGACTACCACCTCTGGGACAGCCTCAGCTCCTTGGGGAGACCCAGGCGAGGCTCCGGTGCTGCTCCCCTCGCCGGGTGGGCGTGTTCCATCCTGGTCCCGAGGTCCCAGGCCCTTCTGGTGCATCCACGCCCGGTGTCTCCGGTGGCGGCCTTTCCCTCCAGTACCCTTGCGAGTGGGTACCGTCCGGACTCTGGAGAGGCCCGGGGAGCCTTCAGCATCTGTTGGGCTCCCCCTCATGGGCAGCGTTACCTCCAACAGCTCCACGTACTCACCCTCAGGTCCTTCCACAGGGGCATTGTGCCCATCCCCGGGGCTCCGGGTGCCCAGCGCCTCCTCAGGAAGTGGAGGGCTGGGAAGCCCTGGAGGTCCAGAGGGCAGTTCTGGGGGCAGTGTACTTGGCTGATGTCCAACCCTGAGGCCCTCTTTGTGCACAAATCGTGGGCAGATGAGCTCAGCCCAGGGCAGCCGCTGAATCCCAGAGGGTGCAGACAGCAGGCAGGTACTGAGGCGACCCGTTGGCCGGTCCTTGTTGATGCCTTGTAGCCACTCAGGTGTGAATAGGTAGGCACAGGCCTCACTGGGCACAGGAATCTCCTGCACCCGCCCACCCCCAGGGGCCAGACACTTGAGTGCTAGTCGTGGTGCTTGGGCGGCTGAGGGTACCACTTGCAGATAGAAGTCTCCTGGGCGCAGCAGCTGCCAGGGCAGGGCTGCTAGCTGCACCACTACCTGTTCATGCAGGCAGAGCGGCCACCCCTCATGGAAGAAGAGGAATCCGCTGTATTGGGCCTGGGGAGAGAGGTGGGAGGCTTCACTCAGGCCTCTGCTGAAGAAACCAGCAGGAGAGGGCAGTTAGAATGGACCCACCTGAGGCAGGACTGGCTGTTTGCCTGGAAAGTGATACTCTGAGGAGAGCAGGAGGAGAGATCTTGGGGTATTCATGTGGCAGAGAGGAAGGGATTGGGACTGACTGGTCTCCTGGTGGTAGGAAGCTTCTCTAGGAAGCTAGTTCCATGTGTGGGAGGGCAAGAACTGAATCATTACCAAGACATGATCAGCAGATGCCATTGTCTTCGAGAAATTAAAGACTCTTAGGAGTCTTTATATCTGTAGAAATGAAGGATCTCTGTTGAATCATATATGGGGGAGTTAGTATCTTGAGAAATTCACAAGGGGAGAAAATGTCTGGAATTGGGTCTGGAGGGTTAGGGTCTTTGGGGCTTAGTGTTTTTTAGGGGTCAGTATTTGGGGAAGATGAATGTGTGTGTATGTGCATTAGCATCTGAATGTGTCAGTGCCTATGAAGGTCAAACTTTGTGGGAGGTCAGAGAATGAGGCTTAAATGACTCTGGGGAGATCAGTATTAGGGGAGGCTGTATCTCCAGGTTAGTAGGGGCATTAGTTAGCCTGGCTAGTCTCTAGAGTGTGGCAGTTGATCTTGGGGAAGGCAGAATAGTGATGCACGGCCACTCACACAGGCTTCCTGCTGGACTTTGGCAAGCAGGTGCTTGGCTGGTACCAGGAAGTCCAGCGTGTACCTCAGTGCATCTTCCCGATAAGTCCTCTCCACCACCTGGAACACCTGGCCCAACAGGGTGGGGGCTGTTGCCTCAAAGGGTGGATACAGGGCGGCGAGAGTGCTCTGCACACAGTCCTCCACTGGTTCAGGCTCCTGTAGAGATAGGACCAGGCTAGAGATCACCCAATCATGGCTCCTTGGGAGCTGCACTGGTCTAGGGGTGGCTGTGTTCCCCAAGGCCCCCATTGTACAATGTGTGCAAAAAAGTGTGCACTCAGGAAATGCTTGCTAATGAGCCCAGAATGGGAGTGGGGCTGGGTCAGAGTGCACAAGCCTGGCAGGGCACTCAACTCTCAAGCTCTGAGACCTTGGCTTTGGAGATCGGGGAGAATTTGTTGTGAATGCCTCTGATCAGGGCTGTCCCGGGTGCTTGTGAGTTGGGGTGATGGCATAGATCTTTCTCAGGAGAGAAGAGACAGGCTTCTGGGCTAGCAGGGTACTGAGCTTATGGCTGAGAACTCTAGAGGGTGTGAGGGAGATTTCCACACAGTCATCCTGCAACCCCCTTCTCATAAGACCCACCATCCAGAGCTCCCCATCTTAAGTGGAGGTGCCATCACCCACAATTATGTCCTAGAGATAACGATTTGGTGAAAAAGAGATGGGCATTTATATGCTAGAGATGGTCATTTGGTGGGAAGAGGAGGATGGAAAGACTGTCTGTGATTGTCTTGGGTCTTTCTAGCGTGCCTCTTCCCTCTCCCACAGTGGCTCTGAAGCAATCACCCATTCCTAGAGCATGTGGGATTGGGTTATAAAAACTGGGTGGGGGCAGTTGAAAGAGAAAAAAGTCACACAAGGAACGTGTGGGGAAGGAAGGAGGAGGCCTTGATGGCATGCTTTTGAGCTGGTCTTTTCTGATTCCAGTGGGACCTCTCTCTGCCAGCCTCCACTAGGAGACTCAGCCCTGCTTCATCCTCTAGACCCCCCCTCCCTAAGTGAGTTAATGAGACATCTTTCTCCATCCCATAACCTAAATAACCATCCCTTGGGCTTTTGCTTTGCAAACTTCTCTTTCAAGACAGTCTTTGAAGTTCCTTTTACTAGATTTTCTTTTCTCTTTTTTGCTGTAAATGGGGAAGGGGATACTCAATGCAGCCTATACCTTGGTCTCTACCCGCCCTACCCCCATGTCTTGCCTCTGCCATAAGACAAAAGAGCTTATTTTTCTCTTAGCTCCTCCATCCAGAGTTGCCCGTTTGTCTCGACTGTCTGTGAAGTTAGGACAACCACTGCAGAGACGGGACATTCAGTGCGTCAGCGCGCAGACCCCGCCCCAAGGTGTGTGGGCGAGCAGACAGACCCCCAGTGTTCCCCTGACCAGGCGGACGCAGTGCGCGTGGGTGGGGGGAAGGTGGAGATGGGCGGGGGTGAGGCAGAGTAGGACAGTCTGCTCCAAGGCCGGGAGTGGGGAGCTAGGGCTTGAGCAGCGAGGCAGCTGCAACCCATTAGGGGCGGTGAGCTCATGGCTGAGTGAGAGTCTCAGCCACAGGAAACGGCAGCGGCAGGAGGGGAGGTGGGGTCTGGAGAGGGAGGCGGCGGGCGGGAGCACGGAGACCCAGCCTCCCGCCGGCGGGGACCAGAGAGGAGACCAGAGAGACTGAGTCAGCTGTCCCTGGCCCAGTTCCTCTTTCTTTTTCCTCCAGCCTCCCTGCCAGAGGGTGCCCTTCCCTCCGAAGAGGGGAGGCCGCAGTAGTGCCCCTGCCCCTCCTCCACTGCCTGCGGTGAGCTCCCCCTGGCAAGGCCTCTCCCCCTCCTCCACTCTGCAGCGAGCGCCCCCTTGGCCATGCCCCCGCCCTCCTTGCAGTGGGCGCTCTCCCTGGCAGTGCCCACTCTCGCAGTGGTGCTTCAGACTATGCTGGAGTGAAAGTTCCCAGGAAAGTGTTCACTCCTGTTGGTGTGGGCTTCTCAGCGGTACCCTCCTGCTTCCAGCGCCCCGAGTTGCTGCTGCCAGGGTCGCCTACTTTCTACAAGGACCTCTGGCTCGAGCTCCCTCTCCTCTGCAGCAGGAGTGCGCTGAGGCAGCCCTTCGGTTCCCTGCAGCAAGAGCTGTGGGGCACTTCCCTCCCCTGCAAACTCCGGTCGGCTCCGGCAGTGTCACGCCCCCTGGTACTGTGAGCTCCCCCCAAGCACCCCCAACTGCCCAGAGGCAGACCTTTTTCTTTGCGGGAATTTCCCTCTTTGGCCATGCCCCTGGCCCGGGCCCAGCCACAGCTGTGGCCAGTCCCCCAGGGCCGGATGGGTGGGCCTGCCTCACCGGGTTGGGGACCGGGATGGAAAATGGTGGTTCCAGGCAAGTCAGTTCTCATGACCCGAGGGGCCGGGCCTCTTCCAGGGCCACTGCAGGACCAACCCGCAGGGGTCTCCCGCGGGTCAGGAGATGGGACCAGGAAGGGGAGGGAAGCTCCAGGAAAGGAAGGCACAGGTCAGGACAGAGGAGGGCGGGGAGGGGGGAGGTGTGCGGATTAGGGGAGAGACCCGAGAGAAGATGGGGGAGGAGGCGGAGGAGATGAGGAAAAAAGAGTGAGGGCAATACCCTGTGGGGACAGAGCTAAACAGTCGAGCAGACGGACAGACAAATCAAAGAAGGGGGGATGGGAGGGAGGAGATTCCCAGGAGCGCTGAGCAGTCCGAGGCAGGCTCGGGAGGCACCAGGCTGGGGACGGGGGGCCCGGGGCGGGCAGCGCGAGGGCCAAGGGGACCCAGGGGTTGCGACGCTGGACTCACCATGGCTCGGCGCCGGGCCGCGTCCGACGCTCGGTCGGGCGGGCGGGGCCGGGCGCGCCACCGCCTCCCTCCCGCCGCTCGTGTCTCGCCGGGTCTGGCTAAGGGACAGCTCCGGCCGCGGTGGCGGCTCGGCCCGCTCAGGCTTCCAGGCCGCGGGGCCCCGCCAGGGAGGGCCGAGACGGCCGCCCCTCCCCGCCCCGCCCTTCAGCGCCAGCCCCGCCTCGGCGCGGGACCCCTTGCCGGGACTCCCTCTCCCGCGCCGAGACTCTCTGCAGCTCTCCGGGCGTCCCCAGCCTACCCGCCCCGTTCACCCGCAAGCTTCTTTCTTCTCCGCCCCGCCCTCCAGCGGGTAACCCCGACTCCGACCCTCGGAGGCCGGCCCAGCAGAGGATGCTCCTCTTTTCCCGCCACGGCCTCGCTCCCCGCGGGATCAGTTTAGCCTCTGCAAGGGACGCTCCAAAGGCTGGGGCGTGCGTGAATTCCCTTGGGGCTCCTCTGCTCAGAACTGGAGTCTTCCTACGGCTGGAAAGCCTCCCGTCTCTAACTCGCTCGGGACCCTCTTCTCCCATCGGTTTCTAGACTTTGGTAGGACCCGGGGCTCAAAATAGACCTTCAGGTCCTGCAGGCCTAGCATAGTGCGGAGGGCCGGGAAATCAGGAGATTCCCCAACCCCACAGGGTCCTGCGCGCCCTCCTCCTTTCCCTCCATCTCCTCGGGCCTCGAGCCTCTGGGCTGACAATGGGCTCCTCTGTGCTGCCTGGGGAAGGCGGTAGTGTGCGGGAGTTAGGGAGCAGCGGAAGACTTGGGATGGGGGCGGACAGCGTGGCGGAGGGGGCAGGGTTCTCGAATCGGGATGCTCAGGTTGGGGCGTGCATTTCGACGGATATTTTCTGAGTTCTCTCCTCCGTGACCCTTCCCTTCCGCATCCCTTATCTCTCTATTCGGCTTCAAGAGGGAAGGCACCAGGCCTCCACTTCGAGGACTGGGTACTGGACGCCAGCGCCTTCCTTCTGGTTCCGTGGCTATAGAATCCCGCAGGGCCGCTAGGGCTCGTGGCGATGGGGATGGGTATCTGGCGCAGGGGACACAGCGGGGTGGCCTAGTTAAGAAAGTTCTAGCCTCATTCCCTCTCCCTCATCAAACCCCGAGCGTCCCCCCACCGTGTCTGAATGGGAAAGGAAGGCCGGGTAGGGGTCTCCCAGGAGTCCGGGGGAGGCACATGCACGGAGGGGAGATGCCCCGCCCCGCCTCTGAGCAGGCACTGGGAAGCCCCGCGGCTCCATGAGCCCTTCCAAAGGGTGGACGGAAAGGAGAGGAGGGGAGATGGGAAAGCCTAATAGTCCCCGGAGGGGCGTGAACGTGTGTGCCCCTGCAGCTGGAAGGCGACGGGGAGAAAATGTCCGGCCTCGCCCGCAGTTCCTCAGAGGCGCCTCTAGGCAGTGGCTGGAGCAGCAAGAAGGGAGGCCGGGGCGTCGCCCAGGTAACGTGCTCTTTCTTCTCTCACCTCCTCTAGACGCTAACCTCCACCTTTTTTTCCGCTCCGCTGAGTCTGGAAAACGACAGAGCAAATGTTCATCCTTCTTAGAGGCAAGAAGAGGCCTCTACTCCATAGAGTCAAAAAAGATTCTTAAGTCAACAAACCCCAGCAACCAGCTTCCCCGCACAGTTAGAGCTGTGAAGTTGGAGCTCTTTCTAACACCAGGCTTTGCGACCCTCGAGTCACTGACACTCTCCAGCTTCCTTATTATGAGGGCCTGCGAGCTAGGAGAGTGAGATTTTGCTACCCTCTGGTGTCCATTCCGTAAATACTGCCCAGTGACCGGTTACCGGGGCCAGTGTTTAGAAAACTTCCTTAGAAGATGTTTTATGACCCTTATTCACTTGTCTCAAACCCAGCTCATCCATTCTTGGTTGAGAGAGTCTGAACCTTTCCTCACCAGGCCTTCCTTTCCTTATACGGCAGCAAATTGTTTAGGGAACCCTTGGTAGTGTCCAAGGTTGTCCACTGGATTCCAAGGCTTGCTACCCTTAGGTAGCGTAATATAAATTAATCTGGCCATGGGGTCCACAAACTCCTGGAAAAAGGGAGTCGATCTTTTTTTTTCATGGAAAAAATGGGGAGCCTCTGAAAGTTTTTGAGCTGGTGGGGTGAGGGAATTTGGATACAGAATCAGGGATGCAGTTACCTTTTCTTTCCAATCTGTGCTAAATTACAGTGGTTTATTTTAAGTAAGTAAGTGACGTGGTTGCAGCAGTTAAATACCACTTTCTCCGAAGAATACAGGCTCTTACCTAAAAATGTGTGTGTGTGTACATGTGTGTGTACACAACAGAGTATGTGTTGATATGTGTGTTTTTAGTGGGGGATCTGAAGGGGTAAGGTTATAACAGAGAAATTAGAGGCTGGAATAGACCAGTCTTAGAAGCCTTTTCATTCACAAACAGTTCTTACCGTATTTTACCCATTTAAGATTCTTTGGGGCTTCTCAAACTCCTGTTTTACAGATGAAATTGTAGCTTATTGAAGTTAGGAAACTCTCTCTCAGCTACACAGCAAATGAGAAACCAGGATGTGAACCCAGGTTGTTTGACGCCAGAGCCTTCACTCTCAACCAGTAAGTTATAGGGTCTCATCTAAGTTGTCAACGTTCATAAAAGAAGAGTTTTAAGCCGGGAGCCATGGCTCACACCTGTAATCCCAGCAATTTGGGAGGCTGAGGTGGGCAGATCACCTGAGGTCAGGAGTTCAAGACCAGCCTGACCAACGAAGTGAAACCCCGTCTCTACTAAAAGTCCAAAAATTTGCTGGGCGTGGTGGCGGGCGCCTGTAATCCCAGCTATTCTCGAGTCGGAGGCAGGAGAATTGCTTGAACCCAGGAGGCAGAGGTTGCAGTCAGCCAAGATTGCACCACTGCACTCCAGCCCAGGTGACAGAGCGAGACTCC